GGAACACTTGAAAATGCAGCTTTTTCACTGAGGTATCTTATCTACAAAAAGTCCTTGAAAAAAATAACAGTTAATAAAACATTTTCTAAAAATGTCCCTTTACAGAGACAGTCTTTGTAGTTTAATCAAATTGGTTTATTCTGGTGGTTTACTTTCTTTCTATTACAAGTAATTTTAGACCATTCTTGCACTTTAGATAATCTAGGAAGCTTTATATGGTATTTTGCTGATTTTGTTTTTAAAGAGGTTAAAAATGTAGTAGCATTTCTTACCCCTGTTAAAATCTATCACATCTTTAATTTACTTTGAATGAGGTGAGGTTAAAATTGGTGTTAAAATTTGGTTGTATAGATTGAATAACCTGATGCTTCCTGCCACTCAAGAACTTGAGATATGTATGTTTGAGTTTCTACTGGATTATTTTTAGAATCTCTTGCTCTTGTCTGTTTCTATTCTAAGAATTCTCTTGGAACCTGTTCCAGGATAGTAGTTCTTGGGGGTGGAGAGTGATAGGATGGAACACAAGAGTAAACTGAATTCCTGTGGCCTGGCAACTCGGTTGCTTATTGGAGAAGCACTCTCATTTACTACACAGAGCTTTTTTTCCCAGAAAAGGGAACAGAGAATTTCCCCATATGGCCGTATGCTAAAGGTGTTGAGTTTTTAAAAAATTAATTAATTTATTATATTTTTGGCTGCATTGGGTCCTCGTTGCTGCGCACAAGCTTTTCTCTAGTTGCAGCGAGCGGGAGCTTCTCTTTTTTGCAGTGTGCAGGCTTCTCATTGCCGTGGCTTCTCTTGTTGTGGAGCACGGGCTCTAGGTGCTTGGCTTTCAGTAGTTGTGGCACACGGGCTCAGTAGTTGTGGCTTGTGGGCTCTAGAGCGCAGGCTCAGTAGTTGTGGCCCACGGGCTTAGTTGCTCCGCGGTCTGTGGGATCTTCCCGGACCAGGGTCGAACCCGTGTCCCCTGCATTGGCAGGCGGATTCTTAACCACTGCGCCACCAGGGAAGTCCCAAGGTGTTGATTTTTATAGTCTAATTTCCGTGACTTACTCATTTTCACAATTCACTGGTGGTAATTTTTAAGGATGTCGATAATGATTTTGGTAACTTATGCTTTTTACCTTGTTTTATGAATTCATTGTCTCCAGAGGCTTTATGTAAAACATAAGAAAATTTGTTGAATCATACATCCTGTTGACTTTGTTTTCTGAGCTCTGTTTTTTCCCAGAGGATTTTAGTAACACTTTTTTCCCCCTCTGCTTACTTTATAAACTTGCACGTTTATCTTTAGAGCATGTGCTGTAGGCGTGTGGGCTTCAGTAGTTGCAGCACTCAGGCTCAGTAGTTGTGGCTTGCGGGATCTAGAGCTCAGCGTCAGTAGTTGTGGTGCATGAGCTTAGCTCCTCTGTGGCATGTGGGATCTTCCTGGACCAGACCTTGAACCCGTGTCCCCTGCCTTGGCAGGCAGATTCTTAACCACTGTGCCACCAAGGAATTCCCTAGAGATATAAAGTCTTAATGTTTATATTGAGGCAGTGAATTAGTAAATATTTTATAGTTTGAAATATAAGGAGTTTATGGTTTTTCTGATTGACAAGTGAGAATTCAGATACATTACATCAAAGTGTTTGGTTTTAATAGCAAGACTATTAAGACTAAAAGTCTTTTATAAATGAAAAAACTCGATCTAAGCATCCATTCAATTTAGCTTATTTCTGTACATGCAGATTTTCATCACCAGATGGCACTGCTGTAAGAAGAAATTCTCATTTTGTTATATTTAATGTACCTAGTTTATTTTCATAAATGGGGGCACTGAGGATTAAACAGTTAAAGATGAGTGAGAAAAGGATCACATAATTCAATTAAAAAAAGAACTGTTTTGAAATCTGTGGGTAAACTAAAAATGATTTTTTTAAAAAAAGGTTTTACCCTGGGAATACCACTCAGCCAGGCAGGTTTTGGTTGGATGCTTAACTTTTAGATATTTAGCATAGAATTATAGAGTATTAGTGCTCAAAGTGATTTTAGAAAGAATCAAGTAATCCCTTTATTTCAGAAATACTAGTTTCACATTTGTATGATGCTTGACAGTTTCATATGTTTGTATTCATATCTGAGAACACTAAACTCAAAGAAAGCTCTTAAAATAATCGTGACAAAACAATTAACCTTGTTTATATAATACAACTAAAACAGTAAACCCAAACCAATAAAATCTCAAAATCTTTAACTCAAAAAAGTATGCAAAGTGTGTATTCATACTGACAGTGAGAGACGGATTCAAATAGAGTAAAAAGTTTTAAACCGGCATATTAGGCATGTGAGATATTCTGGTTAATTGGTTATTTGCTATTTACAGTGTATGTATAAGGCCCTGCAGTAATATGCCTGTGGCCTTTAGCATTCCAGTTGACAGAGGACCTATTAAGAAAATTAGTAAATAATATTAGAATAGCTGATTCAATGAAAAGCTTGTGAAACCTTTTCTAGCTAAAATAGGTTTCAGGGACATAATTTTCCTTGTGATGCCTGAAATGGTATCCTGAATTATGGTTCGTCTCTTCTCTAAATTTAAGATACACAGGTCCAAAAGATAACTAGAAATACTTGTATAATGTCATTTCGTTAACCTGAGATGTGTAAGATTTATAAATAGGGGAACATTGTTTCACATCATGGGAGTGCTTGCTTTGAGGTGTCTGTAACTGATTGTTTTAGAAAACAGAATTCAATTCATGTATTGCTCTTTTTTGGAATCATTGGCTCTGTTATGATTTGGTCTTTCTTGTGTCATTCTTAATTTTTATAAGTTACCAGCTTCTATCACATGTCATTTCAACATATTTATTAAATGTCTCTTATATTGACACCTATTTAGTAGTGAAGGGAACAAAACAAAATAAAATGAATTTCTGGTCTTAACTCGTTTATGATTTAAGGTTAGGAAGACAAGTTAGATATAGAAGAAACAGAATTGATAAGCTAAAATATGAATTGCATGTATGTACTCTAGAATTCAAAGGAAAGTTAATATATAAAAAGTATTAGGAAATATAATCCTAGAAATCTGTAGGCTGTTTTGGGATATTTTAAATGGACTTTGATGGAAACTTAAGGGCTATTTTGGTTATCTACTATGAAGTTCTGACAAACTCTTGCTGGTTTTCCTATTGGATAATTTTCTGTTGCTTTGTGTTTCATGGTATTTCTCTTTGTTTTTTTTCTTTTTTTCTTTGGCTGCACTGAGCGGCTTATGGGATCTTAGTTCCCTGATGACCGGGTATTGAACCCGGGCCCTCAGCAGTGAAAGCAGAGTCTTAACCACTGGACTGCCAGGGAATTCCCCATAGTATTTCTTTCTTTCTTTTTGTTTTAATTGAAGTATAGTTGATTTACAGTGTTAGTTTCTGGTATACAGCAAAGTGATTCAGTTTTACATATATTTTTCATATTCTTTTCCATTATGGTTTATTACAGGATATTGAATGTAGTTCCCTGTGCTATATTAAAAAGTGTACTTAGCTTTGCTAGGAATGCCTCTGTTCTACAAATTAGGATGTTTGTAATGCTGCTTGACCTCAGTTCTTTTTGTAATACTTTTTTTTTTTTTTTTTTGGCCACACTGCGTGGCCTCCAGGATCTTCGTTCCCTGACCAGGGATCGAACCTGGGCCCCGAGCAGTGGAAGTGCAGAGTCCTAACCACTGGACCGCCAGGGAATTCCTCATAAATATTTCTTGACCACAGCTTTAGTCCAGTACTAGCATTTTTTTTTTTGGCTGCATTGGGTCTTCGTTGCTGCATGCGGGCTTTCTCTAGTTGCGGCGAGCGGGGGCTGCTCTTGATTGTGGTGCGCGGGCTTCTCATTGCGGTGGCTTCTCTTGTTGTGGAGCATGTCCTCTAGGCTCACAGCTTCAGTAGTTGTGGCACGCAGGCTCAGTAGTCGTGGCTCGCGGGCTCTAGAGCGCAGGCTCAGTAGTTGTGGCACACGGGCTTAGTTGCTCCGTGGCATGTGGGATCTTCCTGGACCAGGGCTCGAACTCATGTCTCCTGCATTGGCAGGCGGATTCTTAACCACTGCGCCACGAGGGAAGCCCCCCAGTACAAGCTTTGAACTTATATTTCTTGTCTTTTTCTGCTCAGTTTCTCAGATTTATCCAGGATTGATTTCAGGAGCCACTTTTTTTTTTTTAGAAAAAAACTATGATTAGTACATGTTCTTTACAGCAGAAGTCTTGTTGATTTCCAGGATTGTGGTCCTCTAGTCTCCTCATTCACAGTTGTGGATTTACCTCATATCTTCAGTCTTTTTTGCTTTCCTTAATATTATAGTGTAGAATTGAGTCTGCATGGAACTTCTCTTTTTCTTAAGAGGCTTTCCCCCTATATCTACAGTGTTCCAGTCAAGCCTTCTTTGTTTGTTTGTTTTTTGGCCTCTCTGTGTGGATTATGGGATTTTAGTTCCCCGACCAGGGATTGAACCCGGGCCTGTGGCAGTGAAAGCACAGAATCCTATCCATTGGATTGCCAAGGAATTACCCAGTCAGGCCTTTCTGATAGCCCATCACCTGCAAAGTAGGTTATTCCATGCTGGGGGTAGATATTTTGTCATTTTTCTGCAGCTGACTCAGCCCCTGCTACCCATCATTCCTCTCAGAGTGGTGAGTGACAATGTGGTATGGTAATGTTGTCTTTTATTTACTTATTTATTTTTTGGCCTTTTATTTTTTTTAATTTTTTTTTTTTTTTTTTTGCGGTATGTGGGCCTCTCACTGTTGTGGCCTCTCCCGTTGCGGAGCACAGGCTCCAGACGCACAGGCTCAGCGGCCATGGCTCACGGGCCCAGCCGCTCCGCGGCATGTGAGATCTTCCCGGACCGGGGCACAAACCCGTGTCCCCTGCACGGGCAGGCGGACTCTCAACCACTGCGCCACCAGGGAAGCCCTTTTTAATTAATTTTTATTGGAGTATGATTGCTTTACAACGTTGTGTTAAAAAAAAGTGGAGCGCTTCACGAATTTGCTTGTCATCCTTGTGCAGGGGCCATGCTAATCTTCTCTGTATCGTTCCAGTTTTAGTATGTGTGCTGCTGAAACGAGCACTGACCTTTTATTTTTTAACTAATGTTCCTCATTCCTCTGAATCGTACACTTGAAAAGCAGGGTCCTTTCAAAACTGTCTCGCTAACCCCTTATAGGTGACTCCATTATTTCTGGTTTCAATCCAGGGTGTTATCGTTTGTATTTTGTATTTTTTTTGTTGGCAATTACCTCATGGTAGACCCAGAGCCTCTAACCTTTGTCAGCAGCTGTGGATGCAAAGATACTCTGGGGATGGCGGTGGAGTGCAAGGCTAAGGGAAATAAGAATTTGGGGCCCTGATGGTTATAATCTGGGTAGAGATGAGCATAGATACAGATGTGTGTGCTTGCTTGCTTATTATAAATAAATAAGTCAATAAATAGGCCACTTTAAGGGGCAACGGAGACTTCTTACGAAATATGACCAAAAGAATATTAAGGAAATTGTTTCCGAGTGGGTATTCTTGTTTTACTGCTACCCTTTTGTAAAAATGATTTGTTACTAAAATGGATTCTTAAAACTTTTAACATGTTCCCTAAGCATGAAATATTATGGCCGTTCTACATTAAAGTTTTCATTTTGCCATATATATTGCCACGCTCCATTTTCAGCTTTTTATTTAACTTGATATAACATTTTATATTTAGCCACTGGAATTGGTGTTGTTTTTCTGTTTTCCAATTCCTCTCCTGCCCTTCTTTTTTGAAGCCTCTGTTTCTGGAGGCAGGGTTCCGGCAATTTCAAATGCCTTGTAGTAGCTCTTGGAGCAGTAACAGAGCCAAACCAAAAACTTAGTAGGTTTGATTCTGCTATGAAAAGTGCTGGTTTTTTACATAATGCTTTCCCCATTTTAGGCCTTGGCAGCAGAGAGAGAAATCTGGCTTTTTAAAAAGAGGGCCTTGAGAAGGCTGATAACGGGTTTCTAGGCTTCCCTAGTTGGATATGATACAGTCTAAAGGGGTTAGGCTGGATCAGTTAGGGCATTGTAGTATACCTTTGTCTTGGACATCTCATCCATTGAATCATCTTTTAAGTGGCAGACAGTGTTAAATCCCAAATTTAATTTTCAATCTAGTAGGTTCAACATTTAACATTTTTTGATGTGAAATACGTTGTTATTATTATTTTCTACTTCCCCAGGGAGTATTTTTATTTTTTTAAATTGAAGTATAGTTGGTTTAAAATATTGTGTTAGTTTCAGGTGTACAGCAAAGTGATTGAGTTATACGTATATTTTTTTCTGATTATTTTCCATTATAGGTTATTACAAGATATTTAATATAGTTCCCTGTGCTATACAGTAAATCCTTGTTGCTTAACTATTTTACGTATAGTGGTGTGTATCTGTTAATTCCATATTCCTAATTTATTGATATCTTCCCCCTACTTATCCTTTGGTAACCATAAGTTTGTTTTCTGTGTCTGTGTGTCTGTTTCTGTTTTGTAAGTAAGTTCATTTGTATTATTTTTTAGATTCTGCATATAGGTTATATCATATATTTGGCTTACTTCACTCAGTATGATAATCTCTAAGGTGCATCCATGTTGCTACAAATGGCAATATTTCATTTTTTCATGGCTGAGTAATATTCCATTGAAGTACATAATTTTTTAAGTGCCACATTTAGGCCAGTTGATTCAAGCAGATATTTGTAGGGCATAGATGGTTAGTCTGTTTCCAATTCATGCTCTTAAGTGTGGTTCAGAGGGGAGGATGTATACATTTTCCTGCTAATTATATTCACCTAAAACAGCAGACTCTTTTAACATTACAATTAGTTGATTGGGTTTGTGCCATCTCAGCAGATCTTGATAACAGTTTCTTCAGAAAGGACATAGGTAGTATGTTGATTAAATACTAAGTGTAAGTTTATTGAGGGTCAGAGTTTTCCCCTAATTGTTCCTTTGGGAACAAAGCAGGTGCCTTTTGTTTTTAAGGGAGAATAGAGCCCATTAAAAAAGTGTGAATTATATGATGTTGTTTAATGACCAAATTAGCAGTTATAGTTTTAAATTTTGCTTGATCCAGGGATACCCTTAAGCTTTAAGTACAGTTTAGAGCTCTACTAAATTCTTAGAGCAGGGTTTTTGGCCTGGGTATCCATCCATAGGCATTGAGGAGGTGGAGTGGGCTGTTCATGGATGGGTTTTGGGGGAAGGCGGGGGAGAGATGAGATACAATTCTCCTGAAATTTCAGGCAGAAATTTCTGTGGATATGCCTTTTTCTGAGGGGGGGGGGTCCATAGTTTTCTTCAAATTGTCTAAGTACTTAATGGCCCGAAAGATTGAGTCACCATATTATATTAGAATGAAACACATGTTTAATGCAAAACATTACTTTAAAGTGTTATTTTTACCTTTAATGAGGTTGCGAATCTGGCATCCAGGGTTGTAATAAACTGGAGAGAGAATATTCTTTAGGAAGGGATGTTTTCAAATATGTATTGAAGCTTAAAGCTTATGAGAAAGGCCCCAGTGTTAGAGGTAGATATGAGCAGCTCTTCACCTGGCGACATCATCCGTGACTTGAGTAAGTGGACTCTTTCTAGTTTGAAATTCAAGGTCTTTTTATTTTGTGGGATATTTCAGCAAAGGATCTGTTCATCTTAACCCACTTCTACCTTGATTATTCATTTAAGTTGTGATCCTGAATTTTTGACAGTCTAGTTGATTTCATGGTAATATGTGGATTAGTACCACTAGAAGGTCAAGATTTCTGCTTTCAGTTGGGATCCTCCATATCACTTTTCTGTTCTTTTTACTTCTTTTAGCTTCCTCTCATATTCAGCTTAGTAGCAGTTAAAACCTTTGCCATTTTCTTACATTCCTCCACCCCCGCTCGTCTAGTATGCATTCTCTGCAGGTGTTTTGTCTCTTTTACTAAAAAAGTAAAGACAAATACAACCGACTCCATTGTCTGTCTCCTAATCTCCTAAAAATTTAGCTGCTGCCATACCTGCCCTTCATTCTGTTGGCCTGAGGAGAGGGCACTCTCTTCCTGTCCAAGTGAATCATTTTTCTTTATTGCTATCTCAATTTAATGCCTCTCAATTATCTCCTCTTCAGCTTGTAGATAGGCCTCTTTTGTTCAGTAAATATATATTAACTAATTAAGCGCACACCCTGCGTTAGGCCCTGGAAGAACAAAAGCGACAGGACAGATGTAATCACTGTCCTCATGCGGCTTACAGTGTATTAGAATTGCTCAATGTACCTCATCCTGACAAAATTCTGCTTTGATGCTCTGTATCTCTTTCTAGCTACCACCTCTTGCAAGTATGATTAGTTTACTGCCACTCTCCCTCACTCACCTTGGCTTTTTCCACACCACTGTTTCAAAGCTGTATTGGCAGTGATCACCAGTGACCTCCTAGTTGTGAAGTTCCAATGGACCTTCGATTCAAGCAGTGATTTAAAATTCTTGAAAATATAAAAGGGTTTACTTTGATGTTATTTTAAATGTTCATGTTGTTCAACATTGCTATTTTTCTGAGTGTATATGACTGCCAGGAAAAGTTAGGGAGATGGTAAGGCGTGCTAAAGATCGGCTACAAATTATGGTGTCTCTAGCCATAAGTCTTGTGTTTCGGAGACTGCAGTGTCTACAGCTGGATGTTGTGTGGCTTGTTTTCATAATTAAGAGTTTTGTCTCCTCCATCCTGGCCTCTTGCTACTGTTTTGCTAGTTTAGGATTATGAAGGCAACAGTTATTTTGTAATTTAGTACCTGGTTTGGTTTGTAGGCTCTGTACCCTAGGAAATAAGCGATTGGGACTTAACTATATTACATCTCATTGGTCTGTGTAGAACCTTTTCAAGTTTTATTTCCGATCCTTAAAATGGGGATTATGCCAAATTCTATAGAGTGTTGAGGATTACAGGGAGAAATTTATGTAAAACATTCACCTTGGTGCTCAGCACATAGTAAATTTAAATAAAAAGTTGCTGTGATCATATAAGCATTACAGTTGAGCCGTGTTGCTTTTTATGGGGAAAAATAATTATTTTGGTTTTTTTTCCCACAGTTGCTTAGGTTTCTATGTACCCACCACTGATTAAACTCTATACTTTTTCTTCTTTTTCTTAAAATAAATTTATTTATTTAAATTTTGTTTGCATTGTGTCTTCATTGCTGAGCGTGGGCTTTTTCTAGTTGCGGCAAGCGGGGGCTCGTCTTCATTGCGGAGCATGGGCCCTAGGTGCATGGGCTTCAGTAGTTGTGGCTTGCAGGCTCTAGAGCACAGGCTCAGTAGTTGTGGCGCACGGGCTTAGTTGCTCCACAGCATGTGGGATCTTCCCGGACTAGGGCTCAAACCCGTGTCCCCTGCATTGGCAGGTGGATTCTTAACCACTGTGCCACCAGGGAAGTCCCTATACTTTTTCATATGTGCAAATAAACTTCTTTAGATGGTCAAGAACATTTTCTTGGAGGCGTCTCTTTGGTATCCCTCTATTTTCCTGCTCTGATTAGATTTGGTTGCTCTGTAGGCCTCCTGTCAGCTGTCAGCAGTCAAGATGTCATCTTGATATTTTTTGACTGTCATTTGGGGGAGCCTCCTGTCTCCTGTGTTAGACCCCCTTGTCATCCCCCGTTCTTGGCAATCTCTGATCTGCTTTGTTTCTCTAGTTTTGTCTTTTCCAGAATGTCATAAAAATTGCATCATACAGTATGCAGCCTTTTAAGTCTGGCTTCTTTCATTTAGCATAATACATTTGAGATTCATTCGTGTTGTTCAATAGTTGATTCCTTTTCATTCGTGAGTAATATTCAACTGTATGGTTATGCTACATTTACTCTTTGAAGGACAGTTGGTGTATTTACAGTTTTGGGAGACTGTAAATAAAGGCGCTATCACTATTCAGGTGATTTTCGAGAAAAGTGGCCTATGGCTATCCCAAGCTACAAGGGAGGCTGAGAAAGTATTTAGCTTTTCACCCTCTTTGCAAGAGAACTGCAAGGGAAAAATATGTTGTAAATGGATTTTGGTAGGTAATTTGTGGTGTCAGTTGCAAATGGCCTCTTCTTGGTTTGCTGTTTTAGAGGTTTTGTTTATTTCAGGAGCTTCCTGAGTTTATGAGGTATTGTATGTGTGAACTCAACTTGTTTCTGTGTTCACGTTGATTGGAATTTTTGCTGAGTATAGAATTCTAGGTTGGAAGTTAAACTCTTAAGGCATTGCTGCACTGTTTTTTTAAATTGGGGTAAAATATACATAACAAAAATTATCACTTTAACCATTTTTATTTTTGGCTGCATTGGGTCTTTGTTGCTGCACGCGGGCTTCCTCTAGTTGCAGCGAAGTGGGGGGCTACTCTTCATTGTGGTGCACGGGCTTCTCGTTGCGGTGGCTTCTCTTGTTGCAGAGCACGGGCTCTAGGGCGCGTGGGCTCAGTAGTTGTGGCTCGTGGGCTCTAGAGCGCAGTCTCAGTAGTTGTGGCACACGGGCTTAGTTGCTCCGCGGCATGTGGGATCTTCCCGGACCAGAGCTTGAACCCTTGTCCCCTGCATTGGCAGGCGGATTCTTAACCACCAGGGAAGTCCCTAACCATTTTTAAAGTGTACTTTTTTGTGGCATTACGTACATTCACTTGGTTTTGTGACCATCCATCTTCAGAAGTTTTTGTTTCTTCCTCAATGGAAACTCCATACCCAGTAAACAGTAACTCCCCATTTCCGCATGCTCCCAGCCTCTGGTAACCACTACTCAACTTTGCCTGTGAAATTGACTATTCCAAGTAACTCATATAAGTAGAGTCATAGGGTATTTGTCCTTTTGTGCCTGGCTTATTTTATTTCGTATAATGTCCTCAAGGTTCATCCATGTTTGTTGCATGCATCAGAAATTCCTCCCTTTTTAAGGCTAAATAACGTTCCATTGTATGTGTATACACCATATATGCTTATCCTTTTATCTATAGATAGAAACTTGGGTTGCTTCTACTTTTTAGCTACTGTGATTAATACTGCTATGAACATGGGTGTACAACTATCTCTTTGAGACCCTACTTTTAATTTTTTTTGGTGTATACCCAGAAGTGGAATTACTGAATCGACGGTAATTCTACTTTTGGTTTTTTTTTTCTTGAGGACCTGCCATACTGGTTTTCCGTAGTGGCTGCACCATTTTACATTCCTACCAGTGGTATTCAAGGATTCCAATTTCTCTGCATCTTCTCCAAAACGTATTTTCTATTTTGAATTTTTTATCATAATAGCTATCCTACTGGGTGTGAAGTGTATTTTGTTGTTATAATCGTGTTTTGATGGCATATTATATTTAGTTGTATGCTTGGCACTTAGTAGCTCTTCAATAAGTGTTGAGTAAATAAAGGAAAATTACAGTCATTTTTGTCTGTTTAGAAGGTTTATTGTTTATAAGTGGTTTTTGCCTTAAGGTATAACTTGCTCCTAGACATCACATTCTTTAAAAAAAATTTTTATTTATTTATTTATTTTTGGCTGCATTGGGTCTTATTTGAGGCACATGGGATATTTCGTTGCGGCACACAGGCTCAGTTGCCCCACAGCCTGTGGGATCTCAGTTCCCTGACCAGAGATCGAACCTGCGTCCCCTGCATTGGAAGGTGGATTCTTAACCACTGGGCCACCAGGGAAGTCCCCTAGACATCACATTTTGAATTACATTATTGCCGGTAAAATCCAGGCTGGACATAACGTCACCTTTGGGTTCAAATACTAACTGCAAATGGGGAGAGGCAGATAAAACTACATGTAGTACGGGGTTCCCCAACCCCCAGGCCACAGACTGGTACTGGTCCGTGGCCTGTTAGGAACTGGGTTGCACAGCAAGAGGTGAGCAGCGAGTAAGTGAGCGAAGCTTCATCTGTATTTACAGCCGTTCCCCATCACTTGCATTACTGCTTGAGCTCCGCCTCCTGTCAGATCAGCGGCAGCATTAGCTTCTCAAAGGAGCTCAAACCCTACTGTGCACTGTGCATGCGAGGGATCTAGGTTGCTCGCTCCTTATGAGAATCTAATGCCTGATGATCTGAGGTTGAGCTGAGGCGGTGATGCTAGCACTGGGGAGCAGCTGCAAATACAGATTATCTTCAGCAGAGGTTTGACTGCAGAGACCATAATAAATCAATTGCCTGCAGACTCCTCTCAAAACCCTATGTGTGAGTGGCAAGTGAAAACAAGCTCAGGGCTCCCACTGATTCTGCATTATGGTGAGTTGTGTAGTTATTTCATTATATATTACAGTGTAATAATAGTAGAAATAAAGTGCCCAATAAATGTAATGCGCTTGAATCATCCCAAAACCATCCCATCAACACACCCGCCCACCAGCCACCATCCGTGGAAAAATTGTCTTCCAGGAAAACGGTCCCTGGTGCCAAAGAGGTTGGGGACCGCTGATGTAGTAGTAACTACATACACTTGGTCCTTGGTATCTGCACAGGATTGGTTCTAGGACCTCCCTCAGATACCAAAATTTGTGGATGCTCATGTCCCTTATAGAAATGGCATAATAGGGACATCCCTGGTGGTCCAGTGGTTAAGACTCTGTGCTTCCATTGCATGGGACACGGATTCTATCTCTGATGGGGAACGAAGATTCCGCATGCCACATGGCGTGGCCAAAAAAAAGAAATGGCATGATATTTCTTGAATATAACCTATACACACCCTCCTGTATACTTTAGATCATCTCTAGGACTTCCCTGGTGGCAGTAGTTAAGAATCCGCCTGCCAATGAAGGGGTCACAGGTTTGATTCCTCTTCCGGGAAGATCCCACATGCTGTGGAGCAGGTAAGCTTGTGCGCCACAACTACTGAGCCTGCGCTCTAGAGCCCACGAGCCACAACTACTGAGCCTGTGTGCCACAACTACTGAAGCCTGCGCACCTAGAGCCCGTGCTCCACAACAAGAGAAGCCACTGCGGTGAGAAGCCCGTGCACCACAGCTAGGGAAAGCAACGAAGACCCAATGCAGCCAAAAATAAATAAATAAATAAATTTAAAAAATGGGAAATCATCTCTAGATTACTTATAATACCTAATATAATGTAAATGCTATGTAAATAGTTGCGATAGTGTGGCAGACTCAAAGTTTTGCTTTTTGAAACTTTCTGAAAAAAATTTTTTCTAATATTTTGCGTGGTTGGTTGAATCTGTGGATGCAGAGGGCTGGTTATATAGTGGTAAAATAATTGCTGGTTAAAATTGGTGATATTTGATATTTTTGTTTAAAATTGGTATAATCATAAACCATAGGCGTTTAGACTGCTTTAATAAATTGGCTTAAGAGCTACCAGGAAAATCTAAAATCCTAATGGTTTGTTTCTTGAGAATTTGCATTCTAGAGAACCTTTATGTTTTATCTCACATTTCTTCCTTATCCCTGAATTTTATCCGTGTCGTTTTCTATAATCTGGAAGTTTTGCTTACTGTGTCTGCTTTCTTTCAGATTTTCTATTTTGTGCATACATTATTTTGTATATACTGTATATGATGACTTCGGTGAGCAGTGACCGGTCCAGAGGTGCTCGGGAAAAGCCACAGATTTCAGCGACACAGGCAACACAACTACAGAAACAAGTGGTACAGGTAAGTTTTTGTGGAACTCTTGTTTGCTTTGTTTAAAATTACAGAAATTAAGGGGGCACATGTACTTTAATGTTTTCTTTTTTAGGAAACCTGGGATTTTGAAACTTGTTTTTAAAAGGTAGGTAGTATATAATAGAAAAGAGTAGATACTGATTCAGGTAACGTGGGACGTTGTTTCTTAACTATTTAATCCTGAACTTTTTCCTCCTACCTGTTAGCACCTAGGCCATCTCCTTTTCTTTATTATTATTATTATTAAAAAAAATTATTTGGCTGCACCTGGTCTTAGTTGTGGCTAGCTGGCTCTTAGTTGCGGCATGCAGGATCTAGTTCCGGACCAGAGGTCGAACTCAGGCCCCCCTGCATTGGGAGCGTGGAGTCTTAACCACTGGACCACCAGAGAAGTCCCTTCTTTTCTTTATTATTAATCTAGGTGTGTCCCTGGAATGTAATGCGAAAATCCCAAGTATATGGAGAAGTAATACTCTGAAGTAGAGAAATATCTGAATCATACAAGTTTTTAAAAATATTTATTTATTTTTGGCTGCGTTTGGTCTTCGTTGCTGCGCGCGGGCTTTCTCTAGTTGTGGCGAGGGGGGGGCTACTCTTTGTTGCAGTGCACGGGCTTCTCATTGCAGTGGCTTCTCCTGTTGCAGAGCAAGGGCTCTAGGCACGTGGGCTTTAGTAGTTGCAGCTTGCAGGCTCAGTAATTGTGGCTCGCAGGCTCTAGAGCACAGGCTCAGTAGTTGTGGCACACGGGCTTAGTTGCTCCGCAGCATGTGGGATCTTCCCTGACCAGGGCTCGAACCCATGTCCCCTGAATTGGCAGGCGGATTCTTAACCACTGCACCACCTGGGAAGTCCCTGAATTATACAGTTTTAAAAAGCTGCCTTTTCTGGGACTTCCTTGGTGGTCTAGTGGTTAAGACTCTGCACTTCCACTGCAGGGGGTGCGGGTTCGATACCTGTTCCGGGAACTAAAATCCCACATGCTGCATGGTGTGGCCAAAAAAACAAACAAACAAAACCTTCGTTTTCTTTCATGCATTGTTACCTAGGAAGAGTGCTTTTTTTCTTTTTTTTTTTTGTGGTACGCGGGCCTCTCACTGTTGTGGACTCTCCCGTTGCGGAGCAGAGGCTCCGGACGCGCAGGCTCAGCGGCCATGGCTCAAGGGCCCAGCCACTCCGCGGCATGTGGGATATTCCCGGACCGGGGCACGAACCCGTGTCCCCTGCATCGACAGGCAGACTCTCAACCACTGTGCCACCAGGGAAGCCCCCTAGGAAGAGTGCTTTAATCTTAGAAAGGCTTTTTTTTTTTTTATTATTAATTAATTAATTAATTAATTTTTGGCTGTGTTGGGTCTTCGTTGCTGTGCGTGGGTTTTCTCTAGTTGTGGTGAGTGGGGGCTACTCTTCTTTGTGGTGTGCGGGCTTCTCATTGTGGTGGCTTCTCTTGTCGTGGAGCACAGGCTATAGGCACACGGGTTTCAGTAGTTGTAGCACACGGACTCAGTAGTTGTGGCGCACAGGCTTAGTTGCTCCGCGGCATATGGGATCTTCCTGGACCAGGGCTCGAACCCGTGTCCCCTGCATTGGCAGCAGGTTCGCAACCACTGCGCCACCAGGGTAGTCCCTTAGAAAGGCTTTTAATGAACAAGATCCATTTGTGTAAAATATTTAGTGTTAAATAGTCCTTCCTTCTCAATTTGTATTATTTTAAATGAAGTGAGATAATCCAAGTAAAATGCTAGCTAAGCACAGTACATGGTACAGAATTGAGCATTTTATACATGTTGTTGATTAGATTGGCCAACATTTTTTCAGAGACAGTATGGAAGTAAGTAAATAAACCTTATGCAGTCTATCATAATTTCAGATTGATGTTTTGACTGTACTTTGACAGCTAATTACAGGTACTTTTTTTTTTTTTTGCGGTACGCGGGCCTCTCACTGTTGTGGCCTATCCCGTTGCGGAGCACAGGCTCCGGACGCGCAGGCCCAGCGGCCGTGGCTCACGGGCCCAGCCGCTCCGCGGCATGTGGGATCTTCCTGGACCGGGGCACGAACCCATGTCCTCTGCATCGGCAGGCGGACTCTCAACCACTGCGCCACCAGGGAAGCCCTACAGGTACTTTTCTTTAACAAGTTCCCTGTTGATGTTAAGGGACATAGGAGATGGAGTCAACTCAGTGGTTGCATCATATCTTCCAGTATAAGGTTAGCCTTGTATTTTGCTGCTATCAGCAGACATCTTTTATTTAGTGTTTGCTCCTAAATACACTTACCCTGGTAGGTATTTATTCACAACTGACCGAGAAAGACTGGCTATTGTGGGAAAAATTTGGACTTTCTGTATGGAGTAGGCCTTCTCTGTATAGATGAATGCTTAAGAAAATGTTTGTTTCATGAATAGCCTAAATACAAGTTATGAGTAATCATAGGTACAATCCTGCTACAGTCAAATATAAATTAAAATATTTTATTTTGTTATTTATCAAATCAGTAAAGATTAAATATTAAAAGTGAATTGTTGGGAATGTAAACTGTCTCCATCTTCCACCCAAATAAAATCCTTGGAATGATTTCCAGAGAATCAAAGTCTCCGGAATGGAGGAAGGAGGGCTCCCTTCCTGCCAAGTGTTGTCCCTAATCGTTTTTCCATTGGCCCTTTGGGGATGGCTCATTTTATATAATTAGAAGAAAAAAGCTGCCCACTGAGCTTTGAGAAGGATTCCTAGACCCTTAGATTTCTGATTTTCCTTGTTAAAAAAAAAAGTTTTGTGAGAATTTCTCAAAGGAGTATTAGTAAAATTGTCCATGTTCATTTATCCATTAACCCCATTCTGGGAAGTACTTCCTAAGGAAGTAACCTGAAATTGGGGGTGGGGTGTGTGCGCTTCATTCCACAGGATGCTTATCGCCCAATTCTAAATGTGTAATGGTAGAGGTGTACTGCCATACCCTATGGAGGCAGCAGGATGTAAGAGAAAAACCGCTGAGCTCTTTTCAATCTGAATAAACCTGGGTTTGGGACCTAAGTTTACCACTTTACCAATTAGATGTATTACTTAAGTCTCTTTGAACCTCAGTTTAAAAAAAAAAATGCTTGGAGAGTTAGAGAAAAGTTTCAAGAGTAGTATACATAATTCTCGAATATCCTTCTTCCATATCCCCCCAGATTTTACATATTTACCATGTTTACTAATTTATCCTTTTCTCTCTCCTTCTACAAAGGAGAAACTACACACAGCTTTTCCCCTGAACCTTTGGAGAATAAGTTGTAGATATGGTGCATCTTTACCCCTAAATACTTTAGTGTGTATATTTTTTAAAAAAGAGGATCTTATTTTACGTAATCACAGTACAGTTATCAAAAATCAGGATATCAACTCATCTAATATAACCTGTACATTGTATTCATATTTTCCGGATTGTCCCAATAGTGTCGTTTTTAGCTAATTAAGTCCTTGATCATACATTGTATTCAGGTGTCAATTCTTTTTAGTCTGTTTTTTTAAAATAAATTTATTTATATATTTATTTATTTGGCTGTGTTGGGTCTTTGTTGCTGTGCGTGGGCTTACTGTAGTTGCAGGGAGTGGGGGCTACACTTCGTGGGCTTTCTTTAGTTGCAGCAAGCGGGGGCTACGCTTTGTTGCGGTGTGCGGGCTTCTCATTGCGGTGGCTTCTCTTGTTGCGGAGCACGGGCTCTAGGCGCACGGGCTTCAGTAGTTGTGGCACGCGGGCTCTAGATCGCGGGCTCAGTAGTTGTGGCTCATGGACTTAGTTGCTCCGCTGCATGTGGGATCTTCCTGGACCAGGGCTCGAACCTGTGTCCCCTGCATTGGCAGGTGGATTCTTAAGCACTGCGCCACCAGGGAAGTCCCTTTTTTAGTCTCTTTTAATGTGGTCTCTGTTTCATGACGTTGATGTATTTGAAGAATATAGGCCATTTATTTTGTAGAATGTCTACCAATTTCAGTTTGTGTGATATTTTCTCATGATGAGAGGGGGGTTATGCATTTTTGGTAGAAATACCACAGAAATGATGAGAAATGATGATCTTTTTTTAAAATTAATTTAATTTTGGCTGCGTTGGGTCTTCGTTGCTGTGTGCGAACTTCTCTCTAGTTGCAGCAAGCGGGGGCTACTCTTCGTTGTGGTGCGTGGGCTTGTCATTGTGGTGGCTTCTCTTGTTGTGGAGCACGGGCTGTAGGGCGTGCTGGCTCAGTAGTTTTGGTGCACGGGCTTAGTTGCTCCGTGGCATGTGGGATCTTCCCAGACTAGGGCTCGAACCCATGTCCCCTGCATTGGCAGGCGGATTCTTAACCACTGCGCCACCAGGGAAGTCCTGATGATCTGTCCTTAATGCATCATATTATGACGTATAGGACATAGGTTTGTCTTATAAACTCGTAATCAATTTTGTCATTTGATTATATAGCATCATGTGGGGAGATAAAAAACTCCGGTTTTTAAAAATGTAAAATGAAGTATGGTAATATTGAACTTAAAAATAAAAGTTATTTTATGAGCAAAAATGGGCTTATTTGGGAATAGCAGAGAATTGCAATTCAGAACAAGCAAGCCACGGCAAAAACCATAGGCAAGGGACTTCCCTGGTGGTCCAGTGGTAGAAAATCTGCCTTCCTATGCAGGGGATGCGGGTTCGATCCCTGATCGGGGAACTAAGATCCCACATGCCGCGGGGCAACTGAGCCCGCGCGCCACAACTACTGAGCCTGCGTGCCGCAAACTACAGAGCCCACGTGCTCTGGAGCCTGCGCCACAACCAGAGAAGAGAAAACCCGCATGCCGTAACTAGAGAGAAGCCCGCGCACCGCAACGAAGAGCCCACGCGCCGCAGTGAAAGATCCCGCATGCCTCAACGAAGATCCAGCGTGCCACAAGTAAGACCCGACACAGCCAAAGAAATAGAAAAAAAAAAAACAAAAACAACCATAGGCGAGTCCCAGAAACAGAGGAACCTTATTTTA